AAACATTTTGTTTTATTGACCACATCAATGCGTGTACCAAAAATAAGTATATCCTCAACATATAAGCTAATAATCACACATTCATTATCAATAGTTTTCATGTATAGACATTTATCAACTCCAACAGTAAAATATCTGTTACTAACGAAAACTTGATCAAATTTCTCATGTCACTATTTTGGTACTTGTTTCAAGCCATATAAAGATTTAATCAATTTACAAACTTTGTTTTTTTTATACTAGGAAGAACACACCCCTCGAGTTGTGCCATATAAATTTTTTTTTCTAATTCACCATTTCGAAAAGCAGTTTTAACATCCATTTGATGAATAACAAGTTTGTAAAACAAAGCTAAGGCTAATAAAACATGAATAGATGAAATTCTTGTCATTAGAGTAAAAGTATCAAAATAGTCAATATTTTGTTTTTGAGTAAAACCTTTTGCAACTATTCTACCTTTGTATTTATCTAGAAAACCATCAGGATTAAATTTTGTTTTAAAAATCTATTTGCAACTAATTGGTTTGGCTCTAGATGGTAAATCAACTAATTCTCAAGTTTGATTTTGTAAAATTGAATCAATTTCAATTTTTATATCTACTTTCTAAAATGGACTTTCTTTAAAAGAAATTACCTCACTATAAGTTAAAGGAACATTAGCACCCGAGCATTTGGCTCATTGGTTGGTATATGATCCCCTATCTAAAAAGCAAGGTTGAAATTCCCTTTCCCTTAATTAAAAAAAAATAAAAGATCATTATCTATAAGATAAATGTAAAAATCATTACCAAAGAAAATTTCTTTTCTTAGTCTTTGCTCCTTCTCAAATCATCATTTGGTACTCAAAATCATTTTTGCTAAAAAGTGCATAAGAAATTATATTAGCTCTCACTAGAAAATTATGCTAAAGAATTCATCATTTTTTGTTTCAATGATAGTATTATTATTAAGAACATTACTTTTTAATATATAAAATATATATGTAGCATTATATTTAGTATAACAAATAAACATGCAATCAGATGTTTTAGAGTGAATTTTTCTCTTCTTAAAATCAAGAAGCATTGCCTTAACAAGATACACCCATGCTTTCAAATATTTTAAGTTAAAAAGAAAATTTCATAATTCATAAGGTATCTTACTAGTTTTTTTATGAGGAATTCTATTTTGACTATGACATGCAGATAATAAAACTTCACCCCACAAATTGTCATTTGCATTAAAACTAATAAGCATAGAGTTCATCATTTCTTTTAATGTTCTATTTTTCCTTTCAACTACACCATTTGATTTAGGGGAATATGGAGGAGTTTTTTCGTGAATTATTTCTTTCTATTCACAAATATCATTAATTGGTATATATTCACCCTATCTATCTAATCTAATTCTTTTCATCTTTTTATTTAATTGATTTTCTACCTCAACTTTATACTTAAGAAACATGTTAAAAGCTACATCTTTATACATAAGTAAATAAACTTTAGTAAATCTAGAATTGTCGTCAATAAATGTACCATAGTATTGCTTCCCAATTCTAGTCATAGTTTGTTTCAAATCTCTTAAGTCAGTATGAATTAAACTTAAATAATTTAGATTCTCTATTTACTGAAATACAAGTTTTCTTAATTGATTTTGTTATAGCACATATTTCACATTTACTAAAGCATCTACTTTTAGTACTAGAAATTAAACATAGTGATTGCATTTTCTTAATATAAGGAATGCTAACATGTCTTAATCTATCATGCCATAAATCAATAGAGTCAATCATGTAAGTAGAAGAACTAGCATTTTCATTCAGAACATTTACAATGTTAAGTACAAAAAGTCCTTAATTGTAATATCTCTTACCCACAACACATTATTTTTTGTCATTGTGATCTAGTCAGATTCAAATGACATTTTCACCCTAACCTTGCCTAATAAAACCACAAAAAGCAAATTGGCCCTTTTATTGGGAACATGTAGAACATAATTCAGAGCTAAGGTTTTGCCAGATGTAAGCTTGAGAAGGACTTTCCCTTTCCCAAGAACTTGTGCAGTTCAAGAATCACCAAGATATATTATCTCTTTTCCTTTTCCTACTAGGGTATAAGAGGTAAAGGTAATTCTGTTTGAGTAGATATGCTTGGTAGCATTTGAGTCTACCATCCATTCCTTCACATTGACCACCAAATTTGCTTGAGAAATGACTGCAGTAATTATATCATCAAATTCATCTAATTTGACCAAGTTGATTCTTGGATTAACAACTGTCATTTCCCTTTGTTTTCTTCTTGCATTGTGCTACATAATGCCTTGGCTTTCCACAAACAAACAATTACCATTCTTTTTGAAGGTAGGATAAGGAGCTTTAGATTTATAATTAGGTTTATGAGTGTACCTTTATTGACAATGATGGGTTCTACCTCATACCGGATTGGCTTTAGTTGCAACTTTCTTAACTTTGGAGGCTTTAATCTCTCTCCAGGTTATGTCTTCAATGATAATGTGCACAATCAAGTCTATAAGTGACAATTACTTTTCTGTGTGCCTTAGCTGTTGCTTGTATCCTTTCCAAGATTCTAGCAATTTCTTAATTAGCAACCCAGTAACAACCTCTACTTACGAGTTGATTTTTTCAACCTTCAAATATCCACCAGCTTGTGGTATTCATTGATCTAACTCTTGATGTCCTTGTCATCTGTCATCTTCCAATGGTAAAAGTTGCTAATCACGAATTTCTATTTCCCAACATCTTTAGCAGTGTATTTGACAATCATTGACTCCCATATTTACTTGGCTTCTTTGTAAGGATTGTATACATCAAATAGCTCATTAGAAAACTTGCTAATGATCGTATACCTACATTCTTTATTCGCATGCATCCATGGTTCCGGCATTTTGACATCATTTAGCTTGGAATTAGTTAACACAAAAGCCACCCCATGAACATTAAGGTTTGAAAAGAACCTTTCTTGCCATCTTGTGAAGTTTCTGCCAGCAAAAACATCTACTTTGAAAATATCTGAAAATGGTTTAGCATATGAGACCAAAGGCATAGGTGAAACAGTCAAAGGAGTGGGAGTCATGGTGGAACCATTGACGATGGTGGTGGCAATAAGGACAGAGGCAATAGTAAGAACAGTGATGACAACATTATCATCTTGGGAATCCATTATCTTTAAGATTATTGAAAAATTTAAGAAATAAATGAAAAAATAATAAAGCAAGTAAAAAAGAAAAACTTTAAGGTGTGATTTCACTGTCCTTAAAAATAATTTTCATCTCTTTGAAGTACAAAACTTGATATAAAAAGACTGTAGCAATTATCCTCTGAGATTCAATAGACCATTGCTTATTAGTTTGCATAAACTAGAAAAGGGATAGTAGAGCAACAGAAAGACTTTTCTAAAGAAAAAAGAACCTAACGAAAAGCAAGAAAAACACAAAAAATATGCAAAGAAGCTTTAAAGGAGATGAGAGAACTAGTTTTTTTTTTTGTATTGTGAGTTAAAGAGGCTCTATTTATAGGTTGAAATAGAAAGTTAACGTTATAAAATATCAACATAAATCAATAGAAAATCAAAGGGTATCAAGCAAAATTGTGTTGAGTTAAATAATGTTGAAGAGAATCAAGAAATATCAAGCTTAGTAAGATTAATGATAAAAACTGAAAAATAAGACTAAGTTAGATAAGGTTAACAGACCCAGTCATTAAGACTGTTTCAACTACTACAAGTTGAGGAAAAATAAAATTATATTTGGACCTAACCCACATGTATACTCAAGCGTAATGGAGAAATCTGTATTTTCTCAAAGCCTGGTCCAATCTCATATGAGTGTGAAACCATTTTATTTTCTTCCTTACAACAAACCCTTATGGGTTTTCATATAAGGCACCCACCTCACTTATACCTCGCAATGTGAGATGTTACAACCTTATGAAATACACTATTTTTTTCAATACTCTCAACCCAAAAATTAATTTATTTGTGACTCATAATATCATTAAAAAGAATAACAGGTTCACGAATTGCTTGCAATTCAACAAAGTTTGCATCACATTCCTCAATTGCTGTGAAGAATTTTAAAATGATATCTTCTGCAAATTTCTATTTATTGCCAATTTTTATAGTTATTCAAATGTTGTATATTTGTGATTAAATATAAAGTAATATCTTTTTTGCTTTGCTTCTTTTTCATGTGAAGAGCATGATAATTTGAACTTATGATTTATGTTTTCGATGTTCATGCAGCCGAACAGAGATCGCATACACACCATGAAGGTCCAGAACACAATATTGAAAATAATTTTCTTTTTGTACAAGAGATGCAGCTTTTTGTTGTTACTAACATTTGTACATTTTCTCTTGATAATTATCTTGCTATAATTATGAGATTGTTTAACTAGAAATAAGATTATTATATATTTTGCTCATATTGAGCATAAATTGAGATCAATTGAATAAATTTTAAATTTTATTATATCTTACTTTCCCTTGATATGTGTATTCTCAATTTGACAACGTTCTGATTAATTATAGTTTAGAAAATTTTCATTCAAACCAAGAAAACTTCATAATATATTTCAAATTATTACACAAATTCTATTCATTTATCTTTAATCTTCAATAATTCCCTAAAAAATTATAAACTCGCAACAAAGCACGTTTAACAATTTTTATGTATTTAGATATATTTTTTAATATATTTTACATATTCATATTTATTATTTAAAAAAATCCCTAAAGCCTCCCACCTAGTAAAATATAATTGAGAAGAAACCCTTAATTGAACAATTCTAAATTCTAAAGTCAAATGTAAACTTGACTAAAAATTAGTAAAATAATTTTATGTGAACAAAAAAATAAAAAAAAGCTATTGAAAAGGGAAAAGAAAAGAAAAAAGCTTTGATGGCCCACAGCCACAAAATGGATGATAAGACAGAGTGCCACCACTCAAACAAGCAAAAGCATAACGGCCACAAGCTACCGCCACTTCAAAAAACTCAAATGAAATTTTATATCCATATATATAAAAAATAGAAAACCAAACCAAAAAACCAAAAGGGGCGAGAAGATGCTAACTAAAGCGGCAGTTTCGATTTCAGTTTCAGCCTCTTTTGCTACTGCTGCCTCACCCAAGTCTCTAATAAGTCCTTCTCATAGATTTCTGTGTCTGAGTAGACTATCTTCTCTGCACTCCTTTTCTGGTTTAGGCATCGCATGGAGAAGTAGCAATTGTAGTTACGACAACAAGTCTGCACGAACAATGGAGAGATTGACTTTTACAACAAGGGCATCGGCTCAACCTTTGGAAAACGCCGACGAGCTTATTGACTCCGTCGAGACTTTTATCTTCGATTGTGATGGTGATCACTTTTATTTTTTGCATTACTGTTCCTTTCAATGGATTCTTAGCTTGCTATAATTTTCCTTCCACCATAATGAGTTTTTCTTGTTTGAGAAAATAAAGATAAAAGATTGAGATCAGAGTCTAGGATTTTTATCAACTAAAGCGAAGCATTAATAGTAGCTAAGAAATTGCTAGTTAAATAATAAGTTTATCCTTTCGGCTGGGAATGAATTTTTGTTACTTTTGGTATTGTACTAGCAATAAGTTGCAAGATGGGATGGGATTTATTGTTTGATAACGATACCATCAAAAGAATTCTTTTTTCTTTTTTTTTTTTTTACTAATGGATCAAAATTTTGCAGGAGTTGTATGGAAGGGAGATAAATTAATTGATGGAGTCCCCGAAACTCTTGATATGCTTCGATCAAAGGTTTGTAATTAAGCCTTGAGTCCTGGACACGTACATTTATACTTATATGAATCTCCGAGGATATGCCGAATCACCTTGCTTCTTTCATAATCTTTTCCTTGCCGAAATTGCTTCCTCTAAGTTAAAATTAAAGTAGCACTTTAAATCAAATTAATTTAATATTCAAAAAAGCTGCAACGAACTTTATGAAAAAATAAGAAATGCCTTGTTTTTATGGATAAGAGACAAGTTGATGCTGTTGTTCCTCAGGGAAAGAGACTGGTTTTTGTTACCAACAACTCAACAAAATCTAGAAAACAGTATGGTAAAAAATTTGAGACACTCGGTCTCAAAGTCAGTGAGGTTAGTCCATGCGTCTTCAGTCTTGCTCACTTCTATCTCTCAATCACAAGTTCTGACTTGACTAATACTTTCAGGAGGAAATTTTTGCGTCATCATTTGCTGCTGCTGCATATTTGAAGTCCATTAATTTCCCAAAAGATAAAAAAGTAAGTATTATTGAATATTCTGAGTTCTCTGCTGAGTAAAACTGAAAATTTGCTGTCAAGTCAGCAGCATCATGCCCAATTCCATTGCTTAGCAGGGAGCCAAAAGTTTAGCGTACCATTTGATGGCTGATTTTCTATAAGCTTCTATTTGGTGTCTTCATTTGTGATACTTCTTTTCTTTTGGTTTATTATCATTAGTAAGTACTAAATGCTGCTTCTTTTTTCCCTTCATTTTTTACTGCCCCATTAGCTTCTTGGGTTTGTGTATCAATGAACACTCTGTGCTTATTATTCTTGCTATTCCTACATTCACTTATGATCCAGTGTTCTAAAGTTGATTATGAATTATTAATTTGGTGAGTTCATATGAATGATAATGGACTGATAGCTGATCATGATATAGGTTTATGTGATTGGTGAGGATGGCATCTCGAAGGAGCTTGAGCTTGCTGGATTCCAATACCTTGGTGGGCCAGTATGTATGGGTTTCAATTTGCATAATTCACCAAGTATTCTTGAAACATTATGGAATCTTCAATGTCCCCTGATATCTAATGGATGATACATACATACATACATATATCTATATCAGTGTATATACTGTTCCTATCATAATTTGGCAAATTCTTGCTAATATTTTAAGGATCGAGCTTAGATATCATTTCGTTAAATCTGAAAAACTGCCAAAATAATTGTGTGATCTCAAAAAGGGGGAAGTTGTGAAGTTAACCTTACTTTCACAAACAAAGCTCAATCAAGTCTTGATCCAAAGTAGTTGGGATGCATCGCATTAATGCTTTTCATCATGCCTCCCAGTCTAAGGTTGTGCTTTCACTGGGGATTTTCTTTTAGATCCTTACTACTTAAACAGTTACGTATATTGCTTCTACCTTAATTTTCTCTTTATCCCCCAAGTTAGTCAATAAAAACATCATGAGATTGGTAGTCCTATTCTGTTTATTCCTTGAAGGAATCTCTTTACTTTATTGTATGGATAAGATGTCCTCTCTGGATATGATGAAAATTTTGATATTTTGGTAAACAAACTTGGTACAAACTACAAATTGCTAGGAGCTTATTTATATAAGAAGAGGAGGAGGATATAGCAGATCCCAATATTTGTATGCTTAAGTCAGACATTTGCTTTTATGATTTTCAACATAATAAAAACATCTCTCTATTGAAACCAGAGATAGACAGAGCAGCATGTCATGTATTAGGCTGGCATAAAGATCCATGTAGATGATAACATTCCTATTATTTTTTCTATGCACATGATGTCATACTTCCAAGCATTTAGTTACATTCAATTGAGGGTTTTAACCGTTTTACGTTTTCACTCACCGGCTCTGTAGAAAGGTTGGGGTAGCAGGGATTTTGTATAACCATTCAAAACCATAGAACCTGACAGTTAATGCCAAATTCACTCTTTTGCAAGCATTTTCTAGTTTGCTGGCAGTTTTTATTGTATTTGCTCTTGGCATATTCTATTACATGAAGAGAAAACTCTATTGTTATCTATGATGCTATGTATTAATTATTTTGCAGGATGATGGTGGAAAGAAGATAGAGCTGAAGCCAGGGTTTTTAATGGAGCATGATAAAGATGTGAGTATTCTCTTCTTGTATCTTATCTACCTCTTCTTGGTTTCTCCTTTGAGCTCTAACTATTAGAAACTATGGAAAAAAATGCGTCAATGTTCATTAAGTTCACTTTTCATGTCTAAACATACAGAAGGCAGCTATTCTTTTTGAACTTTCAGTCATGATAATAATGTTTTTGTTATATATTCAAAAAACAAAATGTTTTTGTTATAGGTTGGGGCTGTTGTCGTTGGATTTGATCGATATTTCAACTACTATAAAGTCCAGTAAGTTTTCCATTTCTCCAATAACATATTTGGACACATGCTAACAGATCAGTTTACTTATGCTGCAAGGTTTTGAGTATTTTGACAAAAAGGAACTCCGCGTAGAGATTTATGAAGGGAAGCAGAGCCTGCATATAACCAACAGAGATAAATAGATCAATGAACATTTTGATACACACTAGTATTACATATGGAATATTTTAGTCAACGTGGATTGAAATTTTAAGGGCTAAATTATTACTATCAAAAATTTGGTGGTGATAGTGATATCTGAGTCAAACTTCAAGTGGATACTGCAATTTACTCATAGGAATTTCAAAGCCGAGGGAATGATTTAACAAATACATTGCAAGTTAAAATATATGGTTTTGTTGATTGTATGTGATTACTAATTTTTGAATCTATCATTGGAGGTATGGAACACTTTGTGTACGTGAAAACCCAGGGTGTCTTTTCATCGCTACAAATCGTGATGCTGTCACTCATCTCACAGATGCTCAGGAATGGGCAGGTTCTCTTCTCTTCTCCCTGACTGGAATTTTTTCTTTCACAACATCATCTTCTTCTCTTATGAAGTTATCATCGGTCATTGGTTTCCTTGCTTGGTGAAATTATTTTCTGATGTTACGGAAGGCCTCTAATAGTGTATGTTGAATTCTGGAGCATAAATTATCAAAGCAGCATTTTCCAATTATCAGTGTACACCAACTGCCAAACAGAAATCCGCATTGTATCTTCTATACCTCATCTCAGTTATTTAAAGAACTAATTTAAGGTTGACAGCTAAATTTACCTGGTTGCTTGTTATCCTTCCACTAAAACTGTCCATGTCATACCAAGTGAGTTGTATCTTTGCTTAAGACCGTCTAAAATTCGAAATTGTTTAATGCACGTTGAAAAAAAAAAAAGGCTGAATTCAGAAATTTTATTGCCTGAACAAGAAATGTCGGTTAGACTGGCCCTAGGGCATTGATACACTAAAATGTACTTAGAAGGTTAGAGGCCTAATGTGGTTTGGAGTGTTAGCTTTAGTTCATTTGTCTCTTTTTGTGCAATGTTTTATCAAATGCTAATAATAGTATTCAGTGAGTTATAAGCAACTTGTAGAGACACCTGTCTAGGGGATATTATTTGTTTGTAACTAATGCACTTTGATTAACGAAAGTCCTCCTTAGTTACATTGTTCTTCTAATGAAACCTATTCTCTTTAAAGGGCAATTGCAGGTGAACTGTCAAACATTGTGTCTTCTTGAATGTTATCATATTTCTTTATCTTATATTCTGGTGCCTTTCTTTTCTTGATTTTCTAATATTCTGCCTCCTTTGAGATATCACCCCTTCTTTTTTTGGGCACATAAGATATCAATACCATTCCTTTCTGTTGTTATAATGCTTTGAGCTATCAATACTTGTTAGCTCTCTTAAATTTTGACATTCTTGAAATTTTATTTTCCTTGTGTAAAAGTTATGAGTCAAAGCCAAAAGTTCTCTAAGGGAAATATTTAAATCCGTAATACGTCAACAGCATTCAATGGTTTCAAATATTACTGGAAATTGTTTTTGCCATTAAGCATTATGAAAAGCATGCGCTCTTATTTTGTCAATTAAAATGAACCAAAAACATTAAAAAAGAAAAAAGATACCTGGGTGCTGTTAAGGGCTGTCAATTACAAGAATTACAAAGTGTCAAAGTTTCAAAACTTTCAAAACTTCAAAGCATCATGTTGACTTGACATTCTTGGATAATACTTATCCTGAAAACTCTTTCATCCTAGTTTTGGAATTGTGAGCTTTAAACTCATAATACAATCATTTTTCTTAATTCTGCAAGTCACTATAATCTATGTTTGCTTTCAGGTGGTGGTTCTATGGTTGGTGCCATCTGCGGATCCACTCAACGTGAGCCACTTGTTGTGGGAAAGCCCTCAACTTTTATGATGGACTACCTTGCGAACAAGTACGGTTTCAAAATTTTTTTATATTGTTTTTATCTTCTGTGCTTCTTTGGCAAGCAATAACATGAGTGCTTTTGACTTGAGTTGAATTAGCATATAAGTGACTTATAAGTTATTACAATAGGTCAATATGTGCCTAGGCAGGCAGTCTACAGCTATACTTATTCTAAGACTTCATAAATATTGTGTTGTACTAGAAGTTCTCGTTCATGATAAATATTATTGTATTTTAAGGAGCTAAAAATTTGGACTAGCTAGGAGAATCAGCTTTTCCTGGATAAGACCAGTAGGGAAAGAACATGAAATTGAATTAAGTGTGCAGTTGTTAAAACCCATTAGAAATATCCTGTATATATAATTGGACATACAAAGCAATGGAGTTTCTAGATTTTATCAGCATTGGATTATATTTACAAAAGGGCACAGTGAAGACTTGCTTGTCTCTTTTTCATGGAGCTTATTCTGATCACGGTTTATATCTTATTTCACTTGTTTCTCCTTCAGCCTTTTTGGTGCTTTTCACCTTTCCTCCTCAAAGTGTAGATTACTTCACAATCATTGGTTATCTGTTTCACAAGGAATTTTCAAAAAAAAAAAAATCTGTTTCACAGGGGATTTGGTGATTCTGCATAAATGTACATTGGCAAATATTTTATTCCATTAAATAAACAGTAATTTTCTCTAACATTGTTTTCATGTTATACGACAGATTCGGCATTCTCAAGTCTCAGATATGCATGGTTGGGGACAGATTAGATACTGACATTTTGTTTGGACAAAATGGTGGATGTAAAACTCTTCTTGTTCTCTCAGGTAACAAATTACTGCATAGTTTTTCTTCTTCTAACCTTAGTTTGCGCACTAGATGTATAATCAAGTTCTTTTGTTTTTAATAGGTGTGACTAGTTTGTCAATGCTTCAAAGCCCCAACAATTCCATACAACCTGATTTCTACACCAATAAGATCTCAGATTTTCTTTCTCTGAAAGCTGCAACTGTATGAACATGTAAGGACTTCGCATTGCTGTTTTAGGCTCTTCTCAAGTAAGTACTTTGCCAACTGCTACCATCAGAAATAGAAGCCCTTACATATAGTGCTTGAAATGATGATACTATTTCATTTCTTCTTCCATGTTCTGCCCACGCAAATGCAGTAAAAGGGCAGTGGTTCACAATAATTTTTAAATTGTAAAAGTTGTTCAAATGAAGCAATGCAGATTGTTCTCTTAGTATTTGACTACTGTAATTGCAAATTAGAAGGGATTTTGTCCATCTTGATTCGCACTTCATATGATTAATATCATGCTGATCATAATTAATGCAGACGATATACTGACAATGGTTTTCTCAAGCCAGCAAGGAAGAATTGAATGATAATAGAGTAGCATGTGCCTTTAGATTCTGCTTGTTAAGAGAAGACATAAGGAAGGAATCGTTTAATTGAGAAGAAGGGAATATTTAGTCACAGATGGATGAAACTCAAGTTCAAGGAAAACAAGGCTGAGTTGCATCAAATCTCATTTGAGTAGATTCTTCAATCACAGGAGGCACATGATTGAAACGTCTCAATATTGACATCAGAAGCCTTATCGGGAATGATTGATAATTGACATAGAAAAGTGCTTCAAGGTCTAGGTGCTGAGATTCGATCTCATGCTTAAATTAGAAAATACTTGATAAATTAAAAATATAACATAGAGAAAAAATAAACTAGTATTTAATAAAAATAATCAAATTTTACAGAATCAATATCTTTTTTATGTAACTTTCAAATTAATTATGAACATTCATAACAGACATCGTTCTAGATATCGTAATCAAGAGTTAACTAAATCTAAAATCTTTGCTTTTTAACTTTTAGAATTTGTCAAATTTTTAGTTATTCAAGTGTTTGGCCTTTAACAGTAATTTACACAGTAACTGAATAAGACTTTATCAAAAGTAGGATATTTACTTGTGTTAGCAAGTTTTGTTTCTATTCTTATCGAATCTTACTTTTGTCAAATAAAGATTTTTTTTTATTTTATGAAACAACTGAGAAATAGATAGAGGCTTAGAGTTTTAGTTTGCTAATATAATATATCTATATAGCCAAACTAAGTTGTAACCTTAAATACAATAGTTGTATTTTAATTAAATTAAGTCTCTATGAACTTAATTAATTTTTCACTTTATTTTGATACTTTTCAATTAAGTTCAACTTAATTAATTATCCTTATTTAATTGTAATCATGTCACTTAATATGTGTGACC